ATACCCTTTGGCGACCAAAAAAAAAAAGATTGGTCGCGGAAAAGTTATGGCGGGATAAATTAAAAAAAAAATGATACTACAGTAATTACATGCTATTTTTCTATTTAGGCATTAAAAGTTTATAAAATAATATATAACCCAATTTTATGGGTTATATATTTTTTTTTGTCAAATATGAACAAGAAGTATTTATTGCAGAGTGGCAGAGTCGATTGGGGCATAGTGACTCTTCGGTTAGAGTTTCCAGTCCCAGGGAGCACAAAAGAATTATTTTTTTTGGGTCAAGGCGCTGACTTTTGGCGACCAACTTATCTTTGGTCGCTAAAAGTTTACTTTTGGCTAATATGAATTGGACTTTCCGCGACCAAAAAAGTTGATCGCGAATGGTCGCTTTTAGCGACCAAAGGCTTTTTTGGTCGCAGAAAACTATCTGTGACGAGGCTTTAGCGACCAACTCGCGACCAACATATTTTGGTCGCGAAAAGGTTTTAGCGACCAAATATGGTACTTTTCGCGACCAAAATGTTGGTCACGGAAAGTGTTTTTTCTCTCATCAACTTTAGTAAAACACATTTGAAATCACCTTGTAAAATAAACAAATCAAACTTGAACATATATATTTTTTAAAATTTGTTAAGTTTTAAAATTAGACTTAACTTGATTCATATATAATCCTAAATAACACTTCTTGATAATTAATAATATTTTTAAAAAGTAAAATAATGAATATGAGTTGGTGATTTTGGTAACCACCCAACACAAAAATCTTTTTTGTTGTCTATCCATGATGGTGCCACTAATCAAATAAATAGATTGATTGTACAAAAATTCTTTTGGGTACATTTTATTTGGTGATATATAAATATTTCTAGATAGATGCAATAAGTTACGAAATGTTTGGGGACCACTAAAGCGCCATTTATTTTCTTCCCATCAATTAATAAACTACTCTTTGGCCGCTAGGCAGTTTCTAGTTGATCACATAGTGGTGTTTGGGAAGTTGTTATTTTAATAGGTTATTTTAATTTTCGACTATTTTAGGAGGTTAAAATTTTTATGTTTAGAAAGATAGTTAGATTTTTTTGTAATTAGATGTGATGTTTGTAAGAGAAAAAGTGAAATGATTATGCATTATTTAATGTGATATTTTATCTTATTAATTATTTTAACATATTTTATCTTTTAGTATTATTTTAGACAAAAAAAAAACTAAAAAACTTCTTCCCAAATTTAACATGTGGCAATTAATATGACTTGAGTCATCCACATAATTAGAGAGTTACGTTTTCATTTTTCAACACGACATATGATACAACTTGACAACAATAATATTAAATGAGTTTTGTTTCAGTCATGATTCTAAATCGTAACATCGGACGTGTAACATTAATGATTTTTGTGTAATTAAATATGAAGTCAAGAGTTTTGTTTAAATGACGTAATGTTAGTATAGTAAAAAAGAAATAAACTTTTTGAGCTGATAATTTCTTACTTACTATGAAAAAAATCAGTGAAAAATTCATTACAATTTACATAAGTGATTTCTTAATAGTAATTATTTTATAAATTTTTGAGCTATATGATAAGGATCTTAAGGAATTTTATTGGACAGTCATTTTAAGGCATTTTAATAGTTGATATAATTTTTATAAATAAGAGATCTCATTTTTTTATAATAAAAAAATAACAAATAACATTTACATAATAAGGCTAAGTTTGGAAACTCTCTATAATAGCGAAAAAGTCATTAAAAAAAATTAAAAAGTTAAAAAATTATATAAAAAAAATTAAAAATTCCCTTTATACTCTATTTTTTTTGTATATTTTTCGTAAAAAATAAAAAAATCATCTCTCATCATATTTTAACCAAAAAATTAAAAAGTTACTAAAATGACTTATTTCCAAACCAATCCTAAATCAATAGAATTGATAGAATTACATAGTGGGTGTTTGAGAAGTGACTATTTTAGAGGCTTTTTGACTATTTTAATAGGCTATTTTAGTTTTTATGTTTAGAAAGTTGGGTTAAATTTTTGGGTTGGTTGTTGTATTGAAAAATGTGTTTGAAATGATATTTGAGGTTGAAATGACAAATTTGCCCCTAATCTTATTTTTCTCAAAATTGATCTATGAGGGCAAAATGGTAATTTAACTGCCTGTGGGATAGCGGTGTTAGCCTGATTGGTCACAGTGTAGGTTGTCTGTGCATGACAACCACTGCCTTTTCTTTATTTTTTATTTTATTTTATTTTATTTTTAAATCAATGAGTTAGTGTGGCTAAAAGGCTTTTTTTATATTTGAGGCTAAAATGGCCTGTAGCAAGTAGTAATATATATATATATATATATATATATGTGTGTGTGCGCGCGCGCGCATGTGAAATAGTTGGGGACATATGTTATAGACATTAGTATATAACCACTCATCAGGTCAATAATTTTTTTTCAAAAGAAAATTTAGGGGGGCATGCTATATATATTACTAAAATATTCACAAACTGAAGGGGTTATTAAAGATTTCTAGAAAATTTAAAAAGGGCCATTTGTGTGACAGTATCGGAATTATTGAACGATATGATCGTGAAATTTTTTAAAATCATCAACTTCTCTAAAACATAATGATACCTCATGTGTTCGAACTGTTTTATGTTCTCTATGACATTCTTTGCTCAAAACAAAATAGTATAGCATGTATTTTATGTATTGAGTATTCTAAATGCAATATAAGTAGAAGCTTCATTACATGTAGTATGCAAAGTAGTTGTTTTGTACCACATCACTAAAGGGAAAAGAAAAAAAAAAGCATTGAATAGATGCGTACCTATGCAGAAGTAAAAGTGGTATATATGTCCAAAAAAAAAACAACGAAAAAGTTATGTTTTATATATGTAGTTTATTTATGAATCATTAAGATATATCTATTTAATTTGCACTCATGCATGACCACTAGGTTAAATAAGTTGAAAATAATTTTATAAATAAATATATAACAAGATATATATATATATATATATAATTATAAAAATTAACTCGTAAATAATTCAAATGTAACTGGACTCCGAGCATAATGCATTGCTTGGAAAGCGTCGGGCCTGGCCTAGCCTGATCAGATGACCTAAGAGGTCTGGCATTTCCACTCCCATGACCATGGGCTGGCCTAGCTCGGTTAAGTTTATACCTTCGTGCATTATCCTCGTGAAAGTAATAATGTTTAAATAAGTTACTTTTATTTATGTGATATAAAACAAGTTTGCTTGAAATAAGTTATACAATCTGCTTATAATTTATACTAACCATGTTAGACGTATCGTGTTCGAGTTAAGACAATTATAAATAGGTCATGTTAGTGTCAAAATAACTGACAAGTTTAGTTAGATTAGTCGTATTAGTGTTGGGTGTTTTGGGTATGAATCTAAGACGACACGACACGACACAATTTCCGCCCGTACTTAAGTCACCTGTCAAGTGCAAAACATCTTGTTTTTTTGTGTGTTTATGTGGGGTGGGGGGGATAAATTATACTTTTAATCTCTAGCTACAACTCAAATTTTAATTTGGTCTTTTATTCTCTAATTGTAATAAATAAATTGTCAAACTTCAACTCATGTTTTGATGCGGTCCCGTCATCCTACCATTTAAAATTTGATTGAAAGTTGAAACATATAGGAACAAAAATAAAATTTGAGAAAAGGTTAGATAGGGGAAAAGTGGTTGTGTGGCCTCATGTATAGATAGAGCTGTGTAAAATATCGTTTAATCTGTTAAAACTATCAAATTTGTACAAATCTATTTGCTAACCATGGATTAAACTTTGAAAATTACAATCTGCCTTTGAAACCGCTCCATTATGCTATAATTAATATATATTTTTTGGATAAATTACAAATACATCCTCTGAGATTTACTTAAAATATAAATTGCCTCATATGCTTTTAGAAATTGCATCCAGACCATTGAAGTTTCTAATTGTGTTGTGGATAGGAGAGGGTAGGGTATGGGTCGGGGCACACTTACCCCCACTCGAAAACCGCAAACCCTCGCTCTGATCCTACTCTATTCACAACACAATTAAAAATTTAATAATAATATTGAAATCCAATAATGAAAATTAAAAAATAATATTTATAACAAGAAAAATATATTATATATTAAATAGATATTTAAATTATATTTTATATATAAATAATGAAAACTCAATAATACATTGTCAAATATTATTTATTTTATAAAAACTCAAACAATATATAGTGTAAATATTACATATAATATTATTATTTATTTATTATTATATCAACGAGTTGGGTAGGGTACAAATAAAAAATTACTAATGCCCCACCCCAACTCGAACCCAATTAGATTATTCTATTTTTTTTCAAATCTGATATGCCCTATTCAACCACGCCAAAATCCATCCCATTAGAATTGTGGAGAGTCTAGAAACTTAATTATTTAAAGAGTAATGATTCATTCCCCTTTTCCCCCCACCCCCTTTGACCCCCTTTCTCTCTCATTGGTTACCTTTTCTTTTTCTTTTTCTTTTTTTTCCTGCTCCACCAATCACCCCCTGCCACGTGGCAAAGGGGGTGAGGGGGTGACCCCCAAAAGGGGGTCCCAAGCATTATTCTTATTTAAATTAAAATATGAAGGACTAAAATGAAATTCAAATAAAAGTTTAAAGGTATATGGCAAGATATAACTATAATATTTAACATTTCAAAACATTCATGACTATTAAATTATGTTTTAAAATTTTTATGCTTTCAAATTATTGCATAATTCAACCTAGGTAGTTTTGGAACGGAAAAAAAGAACGGTTATATCAAAAAAAAAAAATTCATTGTTTTATTTCACCAAAATAGATGGTAAGATATTATTTATTTATATTAATTATTTAATAATTATCTCCATACAAAAAAAAAAAAAAAAAAAATCCTGAATTATACAAAGTAATGATAACATATGAGTAAAATATAACATTTTTCTACAAAAGATCATACGAATTTGAGAAAGGGAACTTGAATATTTCTAGTCTTCATTAGAAACAAGAATAATCAAATGCTCTATGTATTGCTCTTAATTAAAGACTACTTGTCACACAAAAATAGAAAAAGCAATTAAATACAATAGAGAAGTAGAATATCATCTTATCTTCCCATCTTTATCATGTGAGACATTGTACCAAATTATATCTCTATCACACCATAACTCTTACTAAATCTAGTCAAATATTAAAAACCCTAGGAACACATAAATCGGTAATAGAATCACTAACATAATATATATCCAATACGTAATACATTTTTGTATTTGTAGCAGAACTAATCGAACTTGACAGCATCAGGAATGTGAACTGGGTACCTTTCGATGCAGTCAACCCATGGGCTATCAATTGGTTTCTTGATAGTTCTATTACACTTCCACACAGCACTGTTACACTTAAACCCACTCCCAAACCCTATCTGCCAAACCCTATCACCTTTCTTCATCCTCTCTTTAGCCTCTATATAACTCAGCTCATACCAAAGTGACGACGACGACGTATTCCCAAACCGGTGCAATGCCATCCTTGACGCCTCCACATGCTCCGCCGATAGCTCCAAGTTCTTCTGCAACTCATCAATCACCGCTCGCCCGCCTGCATGAATGCAGAAATGCTCAAAAGCCTGTTTAAAATCCGGAATATAAGCCTTCCATTTCATTTTAAAGATTTTCCGGAAAATCAGTGAGGCGAGAAAAAGAAGCTGCTCGGACGCGGGAAGAACAAGCGGTCCGATGGTGGTGATGTTGGATTTCAACGCCTTGCCGGCGATCGACATGAGATTGATGGACAGTGCTATGCCCATGTGTCCTTCCGGGTCTTCTTCTTGGTAAACGCACTGGTAAGCTTCATCTTCAGCGCCTTTATGGGTTCGAACGACGTGAACGAGCCGGTACTTTGCTCGCCAGCGGTCCGACCACCGGTTCGATAACAAAATAGCGGCGCCCCCCATTCGGAAGAGGCAATTCGGAAGAAGCATTGCTCGTTCTTTTCCGAAATAACAGTTGGGAGTAAGAATCTCAGTGCTGATAACCACAGCATTTGAATTTGGATGAACCTGAAGAACATCACGAGCTAAATCAATGGAGATTAGCCCAGCACTACACCCCATCCCGGAGAGATTAAAACTCCTAATATTACTTCTCAACTTGTACTTATTCACCACCATGGCCGACAACGATGGCGTCGGTGAGAACAAACTACAGTTAACAATCAGAATATCGATATCTTTTGGTTTCAACCCCGTCGACTTCAAGAGAGAATCCATGGCAGAGAAAATAACAGTCTCGGCTTCTCTCCTTGCAGCAGCCATGCACCGGTCGGGCGGGATATAATGAATGGTGGGGGGGAGGCAGGTTTCTTCGCCAAGCCCGGAACGTTCTAGAATCTTAATATAGAACTGTACAGATTTGGGCTCCGAACCAAGAATGATACGTGCATGTTCTATACCAGTAGCGAAGGGGACGCGGAGAGAGGAGGATGGTTTGAAACAAGCGTAGTCTATGAGATAGACGGTTCGGGGTCTGGACAAGAGGTAGAAGGTAGAGATGTAGACGATGAGGAAGGAGGAGAGGATAATGTGGACAAGATCGAAACGGAGAGAGGCGAAAAGGGTAAGGAGCTCTCGTGGGCCTAAGTGAAGGAGTTGAATGAGAATGGCAAGCATGATGGGGATGAGAAGGAAGGTGAGAATGTTGTTGACGAGGTATTGGTAACCTAGTTTTACATATTTAAGCTTGATGGATTTGGAGAACTCCGGCAATGTTGGAGGCATTGTTTTTGATGAGAGAGAGAGATAGAGAGGTGTTGGATGCGAGAGGGAAGTGTGGCTTGGGGCAGTGATTTGGGAGTGGGAGGGGGTGATGATTTAAAGGCTGTGTGCAGTGGTGGAGGAGGGTAATGAATGGAGGCAGATGAGAAGCTTAAATGTGTTCGTACCCTTTTCCTCGACTTCCTATCCGGCGCCTTTTTCTTTTTTTTTTTTAGCTTTAGTGACTTTTTTTTTAGTTGTGTTAAAAAAAATTTTAACTTTTTTGATCCATTAGTGTAGAAGTATCTGAAAAGCAAATTAGAAAAGAAAGGCGACAGAAAGCCAAAAACTAACTTTCTTTTTTCTTTTTTTAGCAATTTTTTTAAAATTTTATACTTTTGGATTTAGATATATTATAAATAAACCACTTGAAATTTATTTAAAATACGAATTATGTAGTTTGAAAAACTAAAAATACCATCTTATCAAAACAATTGATTTAACAAAATTAACAAAAAATAAAATAAAATTGTATGAATTATTAATTAAAATATATTTTTAAAATTATTAAAAATTGTTAATTGACTTAATTATTTATTAATAAAATGAGTCATTTGTTATGCGATTATAAACTTAATGGGGTGAAATGTAATTTTCAAAATCACAAGAGAAAATCTGTATTTTAAGCAAATCTCATATGTATATTTATAATTTACCCTTTGGGTTTTACTCGATCAAATGATCTGAAAAAGTAAAAAATTAAATTAATTTTTTAAAAATAATTCACTAGAGACAAAAAAACAAAAAAACGAAAATAAAAATAAAAACAAAAAATCACTAAAAAGGTCAGATCCCAAACACCCACTTTGTCTTCGAAGAAATCTAACAAAAAAATTATTAAATAAAAAAAATTAAGGATTGGTGAGTTGGGTGTTTGGTTAGAATCGATAGATTATTGAAAATCATAGGTGAAAACCAACCATAATCTGCCTATAATGTTATGCCAAAACCCTGTCATCTCATGCTTGGATTTTGCTGATTTCCTCACTACTGCATATAATTTATAAACCAAAAAGAAAAAGAACTTTCAGTTCATAAAAACAAACAAGGAAACGAATCTACAGATGAATTTGTTATACAGAAAAGTCATAAAAAAAATGCTGTGGCAGTGTCATTTATCAATTACAAATCACAACAGCGAATGTTTTAGCTTGAAATAAAATGATCACAGAAGGCAACATGATTATGATTACCATTATGAGAATTACGTACAAAAGTTCTACTCGACGAACAAAATAGAGTGCCCACCTACATTTTCCTTCATAAAATTACTGTGGAAAGTGAAACGAATGTAACATGACATGATTATTATTATTATTATTCTTTTTTTGTTGGAAAGCCATGAGCATCACCTAATGCACACCGATACAACTCTGTTCACACACTTCCCACCCATCAATATACAAAGTAGGAACAAAGTGAAATGCATGGCACATGACCTAATTTCTTTTCTTTCTTTTTTTTAACCTAAGCCATCAAAGTCGCTACAATATATATCTAGCAAACCAGAGAGACAGAAACAGAGACAGAGACAGAGACAGAGAAAGATGCCAGAGTACTGTGTAACAGGGGGCACAGGGTTCATAGCGGCTTACCTAGTGAAGTCGCTGCTGGAAAATGGTCACACAGTCCGCACAACCGTGAGAGATCCAGGTACTCTCTTAGTTCTACAGCCAAAGAATAAGCTAAGACCTCCTGCAGATCATGGAGGTCTAATGGTCTCCTGCAACAAGTTTTTACTACAATTTTTGATCTAATATTAACTCCAAATATCCACTCGTATCCCCCCAAAAAAAAAAAAAAAAAAAAAATTCAAATGGGTTCTCTTTCAAGGCCTATGAGTGTTTCCTCGTTACTTTAATCTTCTAATGCTATATTTGAATGACAAAAATATATGAGACATGTTAGCAGCACTTGTAAATTCAAGATACTCTCACCTAAACCCAAAACTACAACATTTTTTCATTTCTTTTCAACATTTTCTCAACCACCACACAAAACACTGTTTTAATAGATTATCACCCCACTCTAGGTATGACACATGGATATTATGGTTCTTCAAATAAACACTAATCTCTTTTATTTTATTTATTCTATATTTGCCTCAGTACTCTTTTTATCTTTGTCTGCATTCTCTAAAACTTTCTACCTGGGACTCAGAGTGCTATCTTTTTCGGCGTTGGGTCATATATATACAAGGAGCCAATTGGAAAATTTTTTGTTGTCTTATGCTTGACCAAGCAATCAAATATTTCCTAATCGATGAACAAGTCAATTGAAACTAGAAAATAGTGTTAATAAGCCTAAGCTCAGTGTGTTGTAATAGAGAGAGTTGATGAACTGATGAGCTTCACATGCTCTGAGCCCAGCTCACTCACAGCTCTCTCCCCCTCTCACCAAGCTTATGCAGCAATTTTGTTTCATGTATTGCTTGAGCAGTGATCCAAATTAGAAATTAGCTGTGGCCTAAAAACATAACACCCCAGATTACTCCTCAATGAGAATATAATGCAGCTCGGTAACTACAACTAATGTACTTGTTTCTTTTTCTTGTAGAAAATGTGGAAAAGGTAAGCTTCCTTTGGGAGCTAAGTGGAGCCAAGGAGAGACTAAAGATTTTCAAAGCTGATCTAATGGTGGAAGGAAGCTTCGACCAAGCTGTACAGGGAGTTGAAGGGGTCTTCCATACTGCATCTCCAGTTATTGTACCATGCGATCAGAATATTCAGGCAAGTTATCTCGGAACCCTCATACAGAAATACACATTGATTGTTTTAAATTTATATTCAAAACTTAACCCAATGCATTTCATATCTAACGGGCAATTCCCATTCATCCAAAGAAGCAAAATTTATTGGCTCATCTCTGATACTCTACATCTATATCATGTATGATACTGTATCTATATCACCTATATATTCCTTCATTGAAAGAAGAATAACACTAATAATTTTTTCTTCCATTACTTCCAACAGAAGTGTAGGTCATTTCAATCTTTCTGCTTCTGTGAATGCCTAATCAAAATCTCAACACCCTAACCTCACATAATGTGGTTATTATGATTAACCTAACTTTAGCTGCAACATGAGAAATGCTTAGCTCGGTGACTAGAATGGGCAGACAAACTTGCAGTCAAACTCCACTAAATTTAACTGTCCAAGTCAGACAACTCACTTTTTCCTTTGATTTGGCAAGCATGAAACTGAATTATTTCTAAAGTGTTCATGACATGCAGAATAAGATTTACAGACATGCAAAATAAGATTTATACCTTTCCTACTATTGCAGGAAACTCTGATTGATCCATGTATAAAGGGCACACTGAATGTTCTGAGCTCCTGCGCAAAAGCAACCAGTGTGAGACGGGTTGTACTGACATCTTCCTGCTCTTCAATAAGATACCGTGATGATGTCCAACAAGTCTCTCCTCTAAATGAATCTCACTGGAGTGATCTGGAGTATTGCAAACGCTACAATGTAATTTCACTTGAACCTGTTTCATATTTTTAAAAGCATGAGAATAAAATATACCATGTTTACATGCATAACTTCTAATTGCATCTTTATAATACTTACTAATATGTTGAGTAAAATTCTTGCTTGAGCATCAGATGTGGTATGCATATGCAAAAACTATTGCAGAGAAAGAGGCATGGAGAGTAGCAGAGGAAAGTGGGATTGATCTAGTGGTGGTGAACCCCTCTTTCGTTGTTGGTCCCTTGCTTACACCACAACCAACCAGTACACTCCAATTGATTCTAGCCATCATTAAAGGTTATATATATAAACCAATCATATAATCTTTTAAAAGAACAACATTCTTGGGCAAGGTCACGTGTATTTATATTTAACAATTTGTCATTTCTACAATCATAACATGCTGCATCACCAAAAACAAATTGACTCCAGTTATTCATAAGGAGAAAGGAAAAGCAAGAAGAGTTCCCTGTGCACGTTGAAAACTGAATAAGCAGTTATATTTGGGTGCAAGAGATGGCCAATTCAAACATCTAGACCAGCCATAAAGCCCATCTTAACAATCCCTTTTATTTTTATGTTTTTGTCAGGTTTGGGAGGAGAATACCCAAATACAACAGTAGGGTTTGTGCATATAGATGACGTTGTCGCTGCACATTTGTTAGCAATGGAGGAAAGGAAAGCATCAGGCAGGCTCATATGTTCAAGCTCAGTAGCTCATTGGTCAGAGATCATCAAGATGCTAAGGACCAAATATCCATCCTACCCGTTTGAAGACAAGTAAGCTTGAAAAAGTGTTTGTTCTTATACCTTCAAATTTGGTTCTGAAATTTATAAATCATTGCTATTGGTATGCAAAACAAACCAATTCTTTTTCCCCACTAAATATTTAGTGCTTACAAGTGTTTTACTACTTTGTGTAGTTGTAGAAGCCAAAAAGGAGATAACAACCCACACAGCATGGATAGCAGTAAGATTATTCAGTTGGGGCTCCCTCCTTTGAAGACACTCGATCAAATGTTTGGTGACTGCATCAAAAGTTTTCAAGAAAAGGGATTTCTGTGAGGTCTATAATGTTTTCTGCAAGCTTTTTCAGCTAGTTGTGCTCATTATATTCTCAAGGACTTAACTATTTGTCCCAAACTTAAGACAAAATTGTTGAAAATAATTCAACTGTTTCTCCAAGAGGGAGAGAAATCCAATATTGCTCTCATTAATATTTTGCACCACCACAGAACTGAAAATGTGCTGTGTTTAAGGCCTCTATTAGTTATTTCTCATCAATTTGTAAGTGAGAAATAGAAAAATCAATTATTAAAAAACTGTGCAAGAATCTTGTTGGAGACTCGAAGTCCACAATGACTGACAAAGACAAAATGAGTACGCTTAAGACAGATAACATCATCATTTTGGAATGCAATCTATCTTCCTCAATAATATTTTTACAAGTTTGTTATTCAAACAAAGCTTTCCAGGACTAAACAAGGAAAGAATTTAAAAACTATACAACACAAATTTGGAAAAGTTAATGAACTGTATCAGACTCTACCTGATAACTCTAGTGAGTTTTGGTTTGGAATTTTGCACTTGCCCTAAATTGTCCAGATTATGTTATTCTAGAATAGGATCCTAGAACACAGATCAAAAGACATCAACGTATACATGCATCAATTTTGCACTTGAACCACTAAATCTGTTAACCAGATAAAAGAAGCAAATATAAAATGTGTAGACCATAATGAAAGTATAAGTACCTTGAGTATGATGACGTTGAGGTAATTCTTACAACAGGTGGAAAGGATATATAACGATAGCGGAAGTTTTCTAAATTTGTACATAATTTTTTAATAAAGTATACAAATATAATTGTGTCCTGGTGTCCTTAGCAAGAGAATTAGATGAATCTAACACTTACATATATACCCTTATGCGACACATAACTGAGTCCATTTAACATAGCTGGCCAAGTAACCAATTAACAATAACCATACACGCACAAAATGCATAATGGAATTTTGCACACAATACACTCTGGGGGCAATACAGAAAGACACTCAACATAATACTAATTTCTCCCCAACAGTCCAAGCATCAAGGATTCCCCCACAACCCCCTACCCCACAAGAAAAAGTTAGAAAGTACTCTATAAAAATGGAAACTTATTATCCCAGCCAGTCCTCCCCATAAAGCCAAATTCCACTAAATTACAACCTCAAGCAATTTATGGTCTATTTGGTTCACTAGAATGAGATAGAATGAAATGGAATAGTAATTCCTTAGGCTCCCCTATGGAATGATCATTCCCTTACAATGATTAATGATGATTCCATTTGAAATGTATTTTTCATTATTTTTTAGTTAACCAAACATAGGAATGGACATTTTGGTGGAATGATCATTCCATTACACTCCATTCCAATGAACCAAACACTACCTTAGGGTGCTGCAAAAAACAATATGAAAGCTTTCCCCCTTGATATTCTCTGACAACCAAGTTTATTTGATACAAGAATCCAAATAGTAGAGCTCCTCACAAAAACTTGATATGTCAATTGATTTTTTCCCACTTGATTTTTTAAATCATGTCAAGATCTGTATTTGTTTCCTCAGTATCATTATTTTTGTTGGCTAACTAACAATGTGTTTGCTGAGGATGACATCTTCTGTTGAGAATTCTGTCGAGGACTCAGTTTTGCAACATGGTTGGTCTAGATGGCTTCGAGAAACACCTTTTGGACAAATCATAAATGATGTGGCAGCCTGTTAGGAAAGCTTTAGACAATGAATACATTATTAATAGAAGTTGCGTGAAGGACACTAGGCATTGTAGGACTAGAGTAGTTTCCCACAACTTGGGAATAATTGTTAGTAGTTAGAGAAATAGAGGCAAATATTGGTCTTGTATCCTCTATATGTGCTGCGTTGTATGCTGCGATCTCTTGAAGAGTTAAATAAAAATCACAGATTTTATTAATTACCTTTCAAGGACTTAAGAGTATGTAATGTAAAGTTTATCTCATGAAAAAGAGTGTTGACCCTTGACAACAACTCAAGTAATCTTTATGTTCTATTCATCATCATTATTTCACTGTTATTTGTTCTTGAAACTAGACAATGAACCACATTTAATAGTCCAGTCTTAATTCTTAAATAGTTTTGCCCATGATAAGGAATTAGTCACAAATAATTTTTGTCACACTCAATGAGACCATACATTTTATTAAATTTCGGCATATCCCTTAACAGAATTCACGATGCAAAATGTCCTATTGAAAGATAATTTTAATTTTCATTGCTGGGTTAGGAAAATATACAAGTACATAAATGGTAATGATATATATAGACACAAAATTCATACAAAATTAATTTACAAAAACAAGACACCCATAGAGATGAGTTTAATTTACAAAAATTTTTGTGGTGTTTTTTTTTTTTTGGTATAAATAGAATTTTCTGTAAATAAAAATGTCAATGTAATTTACCCTTTTTTTATTTTTTTTATTTTTGATCAACAAGAAAAGCAAAACTTTATTAAAGAAAAATACTTATGTATTATTTTTATTAATAATATTTTTAATTTATCTATATAATTTTTTTTATTTTAAATTGACATACATGTACTGATGTACATATTTTTTTTAATAAATAAATTGACATATATATATATATTATAAATGAAAAAAGTAGAGTTGGAAACGATTGTATATTATATATAAAATGTATATTTTAAATAAAATATATAAAATTTATTGTGAGATAATTTTTTTTCTTCAATTAATATTTGAAATATATTATAACTATAATAAATTGTATTTTATTTTGTGTTGTTAGATTTTACTTAGAATTAAAATATATTTATTTTGTAGATATATTTTTTGTATTTGAATTTGTGGAGCAAACCGCCCAAAAGCCCATTTTTTTGTGGGTTATACAAACCATCTAGTAACCCAAACACTTGATAAAACAGCCCACAAGCCCAAATATATGCGTGTCTGGGTCTAATAAAAAAATCCCAAGCCCAACCCTCATGTTTATGATGCAAATCATCTGGTAACCCAAACACTAAATAAAACAGCTCACAAGCCCAAACAAATGTTTATATGGGTCTAAAAAACATTCCCAAGCACAAGCCCAACTCTCATGTTTATAACTTACCACATAAGCATCAAAATAAACCCTGGCAGCTGCTGCTTCTTCGCAGCCTGGTCTCTCTCTCTCTCTCTCTCCCCTTCTGTGCATCACTCCCATCCAGTTAAATCCGCAATTCTATCTCGATGGAGACGTGATTCTATCACGAATCTTGCTACATATCGCTGAATCGCAATTCTAGATGAGAATCGTCTCCCTTTCCAATGATTCCTGCGACTAAGCACGAGTTCAACTACCGTCTTTCTTCTAACAAACAACAAGAGAATTTAGTAGCACACCTCAGAAAAGCAAAATACCACAAAGCACATTTCAAGTTTTTAAACAAAGCACTTATAATGTTCTTACACAGTCAAAAAGCAAAAGAGAACTGGACCAACTATTAGCCCCTGAACAACTTTTCAGACAAAAATTAAACAATATACATACATTCAAGTGATTAAACTAAATCGTAACCTTCCCCAGTAATACGTATTGGCAGCTTAGTCTCATGTTAGAAGACTAGAGAGAGCATCAGATTTCGATCCTCTCCGCTCTCATTTCATAAAATTGCAACATGTCATGCAAAATCAATAGTCCATGATTAACATGTTATTATTAGTATTATAATTTCCCCTAACCATTCTTAAATTTAAAAGAGTTGTGCTACATATGTACAAAATTTATCCAGAATTGAAACATATGAACAAGATTCATTCTCAACATGGTGTACAACACACCAACTTCAAGCATGCTAGAGCTTCTGCCATTGTGACAAAGCATTGATATTACTAAGGAAGATGCAGTTGATTGGGTTCAGACTCCTAATGGTTGTTTACTCCTGCTTCTTTAGTGCCTGATATCACTAAGGAAGATGCATTTAATTGGGTTCCTACTCCTAACGATTCCTATACTGTTAAGTCAGCCTGGGAGACCATTTAGACATGGGAGATAAGAAGTTGTTTGGTTTAGAGGAATGGTTCCTAAATGGTCCTTTATTCTATGGTTGATTTGTTAACCGAGGCTAAGTACTAACAATAGAATGTTGCAATGGGGAATGTGCAGTTCAGGAAACTCATAAGCATCTGTTCTTTGAATATGTTTTTAGCCAGTATATATTAAAAGGAAAGTCTCTGCGAAGTCTAGCTCAGAATATGTCTTTGGCTTGTGTAGTTTAACCACGTATGGATTGAAGAAATAACAGAATTCTTAGGCAAGCTGCTAATCATCCAGAGGTCGTCCTTGTTACGTCCATTCGAGATATCAGAGCTAGAATTTGTTCTTTGAAGAATATTAGAAGACCTTTTCTTAACTTGGCAGAGTTGTAAAGAATGGGGAGATACCCCATCTATCCTCCATATATAGTCAAAACTAGAACCTTTTTATGTTACTGGTTTGGGAAACACTAAAGGTGTGAACCATATGCACCTCCCAACTAAAGAAAAAAAATAGTATAATTTGATATTTTCTGAGTCATAACTAAAAAAAAATATTATAACTAAACACATGTGACATAACTAAACAACTCATAAATTATAACTAAAATAATATTATAACTAAGAAGAAAATTGATCATAACTAGAGAAAAAAATGGCATAACTAGGTGCATATGGTACAATAGTAGAATTCCCCTTCTGGTTTAGATAGTCCCCCTTGGTTCTTTGGCTTGAATAAAATTTTAATTTTCCAAAAAAATACTAACTTTAAATTTACAACTACACTTGATGGAAAGATTCTTGGTAAATTTTCATGGAACCTAGAATTATTCAATTTCAAAACAAGATTTATTGATGTGAATTTTTCATAACTATAAAAAAATTCCATCCATAAACTGGAGACTATCTGAAGCATAATTAGCATTTCCCAAATTGATCTATGAACCCAAAAAACAAAAAACATGAAAAACATGAAAGTATTGATAGGCTTCAGTTGTCACCTTTCATGTCGCAAATCCAGAGATCGTCCAAGCGGCTAAACTCGCCCAAGAGGAACCCATTGTTGTCGATGATCAACGAACCAAGCTCCATTAATCTTGAATTGAACTCTTCACAATTCGAAATGTGCGAAGATTGCTTCAATTCTAGCCCACCAGAGTCTTCTGAACACTCGCTTTCAAGCACCGAACAAGGAGAATCAATTGGCTCGTCTTTTTGCTTCGAAACAGTCTCAGATTTTGTATCTTCAGATGAATCGAACGTGCCTAACTAGAGTTGTCCACTTAACCCGCCTTCTCTTGCTTTCACAAGGAATCGATTCGTCAAGATCAATCTGATGAATAACACGCTTTAACCCAATTGATTTCTTGTCTCTTCTCGATTCGTCTTCTTCTTCGTCTGAAGAACAATCGGTAGCATCTGGGTCGGAATAGATTACTCGGAGTTTTCTCATGGCCTTGATCTTCAAATCAAACTCATCATTATAAATAGACCGATAGGCATTGTTTGCTAAGTTGTTTGGGTGAATTTGGCGCTAAAATAATCCTAAAAAATAAAATAGATTTTTTTAGGTCTAATAAAATAAAATATCATATTTAATTCATAATTATTACATTTTTTTTTATAAAAAAGTCAAAAATTTTTTTACAAATCTAACTTTTTAACCTCAAGTTAAAATAATAAAAAAATAAGAAATCAATTCACTTTCCAAACTAAGCCTATACCTATTTATTATAAAATAAAGAAATAGAAATGATCCAAATCTATCCTCCCGTATAGTGAGAAGTGGGTTGACTTTTTAATTTTAGTTATTTTAGTTTGGGGTTAAAAAGTCTCGTTTAAGAAATATTTTTTTGGCTTTTTTAATTTTTGTGAGGAAAAAAATATAATTATTATGGGTTAGATGTGATATTTTGTCTTATTAAATTAAAAAACTTATTTTGTTTTTTTTTATTATTTTAACCAAAAAAGTCCTAAACCTAACTTTCCAAACAAGCACTAAAAGTTGGTTTGGCATTGGCTACGGTAGTCAATTTTTTTTTGTGTTGAAACATTTTTAATCTTGTTCGATTTTTATTTTTAGATTTTTTTGATTTTTATGAGAGAAAAAGTGTAATGATTATAGTTTGGATGTGACATTTTGTCTTATTGACTTATATAGCTTATTTTGTCTTTTTGTGCTTTTTTTACCTCAAAATGTTTACTAAACGAGGACTAAAATTAGTAAGTTGTAAGTGCATTAAGATATGGGAGATTTATTAGAAAATCATTTTTTAAGTGTTTGTATCCCAATTAATCCATAAGATATTCTTGTATTCCAATAAGTCTTATTATTTGAACATTTGATCTACCAAATTATAATTCTCATATTTAAAGTATTTTATGGACATTTCTACCCTTACAAATATTTTTTGAACGGTTAGCAATTTAGTGATGTCAACATTCATATTTTACAATGTAAATATTCATATTAACGTGTGAATGTTTATATTGACAGTGTGAACATTCACATTGACGGTATGAACATTCACATCACGGAACATTCACATTATAAATGTGAATACTATTAAGGGTGTTTTGATAACTATGTCACTCATAAGATTTATTGGAATATAAGAAAATAATGTAAATAATGTTGACTAAATAGAACACAAGTAAGTAAAAAGGGATTTATGAAAAAGTATCCCTTTAGATATTGGTTGTCATTTATTGTTAGGCAAATTACACTATAAGTCCTATAGTTGGATCATGTCACTTTAGTGCTTGACTTTTTTATTGTGATATATTTAATTTTAAATTTTGAATCTTATTCTAATAAGGACAATTGAATATACTATTGCTTAATTTCAAGGGTAAATCGTCAATTTGATAAAAATATAAATTAATTTAGCAAAAATAAATGTCAAAAAAATATTTTAAAATTTTTAAAAATTATTTCGACCTACCAAAAGATAAAATTATGTAAAATTGATAAATCTTTTAGACATTTATTTTTTTTTTATTAAATTAATTTTTATTATGTGTTTAGATGATGATCATGTAATGGATGGTAGTTATGATTTTAATGTGTAATTGATATATTTAATATATAAAAAAAATTAATTTTGGATTTTTCAATTGAGATTTTTGGTGAAACCCCTTTTTTGAGCCTTTTTTTTTAGGATAAAGGACAGCTTAACTAATTTAGCTTTAAAAAAAACCTGAGAAAGAGACACGTAACTTAGCAAGGATACACCATAATTTTTTTTTTTTTTTGGGCAATATTGCCTTTATATATATATCATATATCATATATTTGAAAATCTGATTGATATTTACACTAATCTCATATATTTAAAAATCTAATCAGTGGAGATGATCTGAAATCAATGAAGACGATCTCGAAATCTGAAGATTCCGCTGCCAACGATCTCGCAGTCTATTAACAATGGACGATTCGCCGCCAATGATCTCACCAAATTTGTTTCAATCACGTGTTCTCCATCAATCTCGAAATCTGTATCAACGAGAGCTTATATTTCAAATCTGTACAAATCTGTATCAAATTTTGAGAGTTTCATCAAGATTGAGAGTGTTGATCGAGTTTTATAGGTTTTACTTCGATCATGTGTTTGATTATTGTTCGAGTTTGATCAGGTATGTTGATTTGTTGATTAGTTTTTATTTTTTTTTATTGTGTATGATTTGATTTTGTTTAATAGAATGAGAGCATAATTTTACTCAGGTACTATGTACTTTGTTTTTGTTTAATAGAAAGAAAGCAAAATTGTACTTTGGTACTATATGCTCTGTTTTTGTTTATGAGTAAAATTTTACTCTAATTTTATGTGCTCTGTTTTTGTTTGGTAAATTGAGAATAAAATTTTACTTTGGCATTATGTGTGTTTGTTTTTGTTTGATAGAATAATAGTAAAATTTTACTTTAGTACTGTGTGCCTCTATAATTTGGTTTTGGACTCGTAATGACAGTAAAATTTTACTTTGATTGACAGTAAATTTTTACTGTCAACTGATTGCAGATTTGAAAAATAGTTTCACCTCTTATATTGTTATGCAAGTATGGTTATCATACCATTGTGTTGAAGGTTGTGTCAAATTGCACATTGAAGGATTTAACCGATTTCTATTGTTTATTAATGGTACTTTCCTGAATGGCAAATATAAGGGCATATTGCTATCAATTACAACGAAGGATGGGGATCAAGATAGATACTATTGTTAATGTCTTACAAAGTAAAATTTTACATAATTTCAGAGTAACACTTTACTTATTTTCAGAGTAAACTTTTACTTTTAATTATAGCAACATTTTATTGTTTTACTTTTTCGGCCTTTTGTGTATTATACTTACTAATTGTAAAATGTTCTCTTTCAAATTTTTTTTCCTCTTGCAAATGGTATTGTCGATACAGAGACTACGGATAGTTGTGGATGATCTTGTTGTCTTTCATCTAATTTGTAAAAAGCTACCAGTAACATGCCCAGGGGGTACCCGTGCACGTTAAACAGTTCGAACCCTCGGTCTCTTTGATCTAGTCTCATTAATGCAAAGTAAAACATAGATGAGAGTCCAGATTTGACAACTTTTAGAAAATCCATTTTATTGTAAAACCTTTTGCCAGAAATGGACTGTATCATCAGATCTCAGAGTCGCCACCTAATATTTTTGAAAAATTAGAAAACTCATGACTCGTGCCAAGGTTACTGTTCGTCATACCCAAAGTTGTCTTGGTTCGAAACCTTCAGTATGAGAGGGGAAGGTCATTAATTGAACCAAAGTAAAATTTTATTCTCAATTTTGTTTTATTTATTTTATATGTTCATATTTTGATTATTTAATAAATTCTAAAAATTACTATGTGAAGCATACAAGTATAGACTATGTCATTTATTTTGGAATAATTTAATTTCATGTAGTTTTGAAAGAGTTTTGGAGATATACAACCCTAATAAATTGAGTTTATAAACATAAAAATCAACACTATTTTAAATTAAGTGGCACAACCTTCATCCACTGGCATTCATACAGTTATATCAAGTAAGCAAGTAGCCATATGGTATGATGCTTAAACATAATAAGAAAAACACACACAAACGGGATGCTAAAGCATAAAAACTTACATATTTACCGACATCCCTTGAACAGTTACAAAACAAAATTAATAAAATATACATGATCTTATATACAAAATCCTAACGCAATTCACTTATGAGATGCAACTAAAGATTCAGCTTCTAAGATATGACATGTGAATCATCTCAAGAACATGAGGTAACGCACGTAATCACATAGGAATTGATTAAATCCACAAATACAAACTTAGCCAAATCAAGATGTATGAAGCATAGATGCAAAGCATAGATGTAACGACAAAAAAATAAAATAAAATAAACATTATGCATATTTACAAATAAGGAAAACAAGTAAAAGACCGGAATAGAAAGAAGTGGGACAGAAAATTATTACAACACTTTGAATAAATTATTACAAAACAAATTAGAGGGGGAGGAGAATATTACAACAAAATAAAAACCTCACAATACACTCAAAATAAAATAAACAAAAGAAAAAAAAAGTTTCATGTGCCTTGGAAACCACCGGAAGTTGGTTAATATCAGAAGACAACGCCATCTTGTCCAAAAGAAGCTAACTGACCGACCCAGCCAACTAGGCCTAACAAAACCTGCCTTATAGCAAAACCAAGAAATGGAACAAACAAGAAATATGTAGGTGGCTCAACTAACCACTACCGGTTAGATTAAAAACAAGAAAACAAATATAAAATAAAAAAAAAATACAAACTTACAACAAAACTAAGATGAAAAACAAGAAAACAAATATAAGGTAAAACATACAAGATTACAACAAAACTAATTTGAGACTAATACAAGGAAAATATAAGTTAGGAAATGCAAGATTATAACATAACTATTATGAAACTAAAATAAGAAAACAAATATAAGATAGAATATGTAAGATTATAACAAAATTAACATGAACCTAAAACAAAACAAAAAAAAAAAGTAAATATGAGGTAGAACATGCAAGATTACAATAAAACTAATATGAGACTAATACAAGAAATGTAAAATTACAACATAATTACTATGAAACTAAAACAAGAAAATAATTATAAGATATAACATGAAAGATTATAACAAAACTAACATGAACCTAAAATAAAAAAGCAAATATGAGGTAGAACATGCAAGATTACAACAAAACTAATATAAGACTAATACAAGAAAAATATAAGTTAGGAAATGTAAGATTACAACACAATTACTATAAAACTAAAACAAGAAAGCAAATATAAGATGGAACATGTAAGATTACAACATGAACTTGAAACAAGAAAGCAAAAATGAGATAGAACATGCAAGATTATAATAAAACTAATATGAAATTAAAACAAGTGAATAAAAATAAATAAATGAATAACTATGAGCTACACAAACCACTTAGATTACAACAATACACTATGAAATATAATGTAAGAAAATA